GAATTTTAAACGGCCAGCGAGCCAATTACTAGCCGCCACGTGTGAATAATTTAGCACTGGCCAATAACGGGGCACAAATTTGCATCCGAATAGCAGGAACTCTTTGCACCGTGCATCTCTGTGCTGCAAAGAAGAAATGCATTCTGCAAAGGAAACTGCAAATTGGCGGGAACTCTCCTGCACGTAGGCTCTTAATTGCAGCAGAACACTCTGCCGTGCAAAGGAGCTCTCATGTGGCCAGGAAATTCCATAGTGCCGAGGCACAAAAAATCACTGGGTTGTGACAGACTGTAGCTTGTGTAGCTTTTCTGGTGGGTACCAATAATAGTTGGTTCCTGCCTGGAATTCTAAGAAGTACTAATACAGCTTACCAGCACTGAGGTCTTGGCTGCCATGGCTACACAGTTAACTCAAGTATATTACATGAATAGTTGTTTGCTACATGAAGAGCTGCCAGCATTTCTCATAAGACTTGGTTAATCATCTTCATACGTTACACACCAAAAAAACAGAATAAGCTTTTTCCTTTGAATGACTAAGCCAAGATTCACCAAGATAGCCTTTCACTGGCAAGTAAGATCTTGACCATTTCTGAATGAAAACAAGCGAGGCAAAAGAGCGTTCTCAAACCTCTAGTCATAGATCTTAACTGCGAAAAGACTTAGAAAATGGGAAAAGGAAGGAATGACCATGTAAAAGAAGAGAAAAGAAATGAAGATGATAAGATGCAACTCAAAAGGACAATAGGGTATTTTAATGGGGTGAGTTTTATAATTGGCACCATAGTTGGTGCAGGAATCTTTGTGTCTGCTACAGGAGTGCTACAGTATTCTTTACTTAACGTGGGTGTTGCGCTATGCATCTGGACTGCCAGTGGAGTAATATCTCTGATGGGTTCCCTCTGTTACGCAGAGCTGGGGACTGCACTACCGTTCTCTGGAGGAGAATACAGTCACATAAAGATAGCACTTGGATCTCCACCTGCTTTCATCTTTATCTGGACAGCGATGTTTACAAAGCCAGCATCAAATGCTGCCCGAGCCTTGTTGTTTGCAGAATATGCCACTCAACCTTTCTATGGTGCCTGTCCTGTACCAGAGCTGCTAAAAAAATGCTTGGCTTTGGCTGTTCTTTGGTGTCTGGGGATTCTGAATGGCCGCAGCGTCAAAATGGCTGCTTGGGTTCAGACTGTTTTCACACTGTTGAAGATGATGGCTTTATCCATAATTGCCATAGGTGGCATTGTCCTGCTGGTTAGAGGAAGAAAGGAGAATTTGGCAAGGTTTGAGAATGCTTTTAGTTCAGAAGTTCCTGATGCATCACAGATTGCAGAAGCTTTTTTCCAAGGATTATATGCATATGGTGGTTGGTGGTCCCTCAATTACATGGCAGGTAGCTGTTTTAAAAAATATATATTTTTAGCAGCCTTTCTCACATTATTCAGGCAATGTTATTATCACTTGTCTCCCTGTGAAAATAATATTTGTGCAGACATGTGTTTTAAAATGCTGGCTATTTACAAGGACCTTATTAGTTTCCATTGGTAAAAGAGGGTTGCCCTCATACATGGAACTTATTTGCTTAATGTGCATTAAAACTATAACTATATTGGAGGTCTCCAGAACAAAAGGGATATTTAAATTTGGACTAATATGGAAAGCAAAGATTTAAATTTAAATCTCTCTTACATACAGAACTTTCACATTGGAAATGCTGATTTTCCCTTCTTTTAATCTCATTGCAATTATATAAAAGAGGGTGTTACTTGGAGTAGGGTAGGATGGGGGTGATGAGAGTTTCACATAGTAAGGACTGAGTGCCTTCAGCTACACAAAGCACAGACCATTATCCTACTAAATGGTATTTTTTCTATTAGTGCATGGACTAATCATTAAATTTAAAATTAAAACTTTAAAAATATATCATTTTTGCAGTGAACCAGAGCTATTGATTTCCCTAGCAATGCAGTTCTTAGTGGAGAATAAAAAAAATAAGTAAAGGAAATAGTATAAACACTTTTCTGTGCCCTTTTAAATATATTGTTTCTAAACATTTTAAATCCTCCAATAGTTTAGTAATATACTCATTTATTCCACTTAATATATAGTGCCACATATGTCATAGTAGCAAAACCAATTAGCACGACAAACTTCTATAACAACTTCAGAGTAAACAAAGTTAACAGGAATGTAGCCAATCATGAACACCGGGACTAATCTAATGATTACCCAAACATTTTGCAGGATTGAGCTGTATGTTCTGAGTTTTTGTTCTTATGTCTTTAACATTCTCTATCTATTTCGTTTTTTTCTCATTAGTCAAATATTAAACAAATTAAAAGTAACAAAGATCAGCAGAGAAAACTTGAAAAATAGTTAATGTTTTAAAAAGGGCAGTTTATGAACTGGTTATTTCTAGCTTGAAACTATGCTGCAGAAAAAAGTAATTTTTTCCCCCAAAATAAAATAAAATAAAATAACAGTAGAATTTGAAATCCTATTAGGGCCTTTTAAAAAAGTACAAGTTTGATGTAACACGAGATATTGCAAATGTATTTATACTGTACTATTTTATTTTATGTTTGGTTAGCAACATTAATGCAGTAGAACAAATTAGACTCTATAATACTAAGGCAGAATCTATACTTTTTGACACTGAATTTTTACACTTTTACAAGTATTGTTTTAAGTAACTACCAATATTATATCTAAGAAAATAAATTAGGAGGGGGAGAAATCCTGGATTTTTTCTGTGGCATTTACTGGGTTCACTTAGCAGTACTTTAGATGTTAGTTTTATTTTTTCTCCTGTACAATCACTCTTACATGTTATTTGTGTAGGTCTTTCAAACAGCAACAGGAGAAAAAATTAAATAATAGGAAAATGTGCTTGTGAAAGCTCAATGGGGCTTTATCTTCGGGCAGTTTTAAGAATTGTAAACAATATTTGTAAAGAATCTGTCAATTCAAATCTAGGCAATTTTAAAAAGGTGTTTGAAAAGTAAGTCTGGTTGAAAAACATCTATGAAATCTGTTTTTCAATGTAAAATTGGGTTTTCAGTTAAACATTTTCTTTTGGCAAAAGTATTTCTACAGATAATTCTGACTTTATCAACCCCCCCCCCCGTACATCTACAAACTAAAAACATTTCTATTGTGTGTGAAAAAGTAGATTCAGAACCAAATCAAACTATTTGCTTTTGTTACTATTTGATAATATATAACATTCCTCATAACCATCGCAGTAGTTCAGACGATGGCATTGTTTAGTCTGGAGGCTTATGTTCAGAAGATGGTAGAGTTAATATTGTTTACTCTGGTAGCTTATGTTCCCATTCTTGTTTAAGGATGGGCCTTCCTATTCAGGAGTCTTTTCCCATGATGCTCTTCAAAAGCACAGGAAGAACAAGAACACATGATGCATCATTTAGCCCACGCTGAGAGCCAGCCTATCTAAAACAGGGGTGGGCAAAATACTGGCCCAGGCACAGTTGAGCCATGACACATCCTGCCACCCCCTGGGCATGCAGCAGGGCTGCAGTGGTTCTGCAGCTGGACTGTCCTTCTAGGCAGCCGAGGTTGTGGCGGCTCCTTCCGGCTGCTGCTGATGGTGGCCCCAGCCCTGGGGTACCAGTGGGGACCTGTGCTGCATAGCCCCTAGCCTGCACACCCTGCACCTGCTCCAGGCTCACCTACCCAGGCTCAGCAGTGGCGGCCTGGGACAGAAGCTGTTGCTCAGCACAGGGGGAAAAGTGGTCCTCCTCCTTGCCACCACTGGGCTGTTCTTGCTGGAGCTACCTGGAGTCTGCACCGGGCGGCCCTGCGTCTATGCGTCACTGCCACCTCTGGGCTACTCAGTGGGGCAGTGGTGGCAGTGCAGAGAAGATGCAGGGTAACCCAGCGTGGCGTGGGCTCCAGGTGGCTGCAGCAGGAACAGCTGTCAGTGAGAGGTTGCGTCTCCTCTGTTCTGAGCAACAGCTTCTGTCTCATACTGCTGCTGCTGAGCCTGGGTGGGTGAGTCTGGAGCAGGCATAGAGTGTGCGGGGCTAGGGCTGTGCACATGGGTCCCTGCTGGTACCATGGGCTGCAGGAGCTGGAAGGAGCCACTACCACCTGGGCTTTCTAGAAAGGCAGTCAAGCTGTAGAGCCACCCCAGCCCCACTCTGTGCCCAGGGACGGCAGGATGTGCCAAGCCCAGACAGTGCAGAGAAGGCCCAGGGCGGGCTGTGCCCG